TTAAGCAACTGCGTTAATTGTAAGGGGAGTTCTGGAAACAGCTTTTTGTAGAAAAAACATCATTTTTGTCCCCCTACTGCCCCTTGGGTAAACTTTAAAATTCCAAAACCTTATTGCACATCTACAGGGCACCTCCTATCATATTCCAAAAGATTAATTGGTTACTTCTTAAAATAAAGAGGAGTGTGAGGGAGAAGAAACTGTGGCAGACGGACGGACGGACCAGGGTAACAACAATATACCCGAACTTTAGAAAGTGCGGGTATAAAAATCCACAAACAATGCAAATCTGTGAACAGGGCACAAAACACGGACACGCGGAAATTCAAGAGGTTGGTTAATGTGCTTAGGAGGAGTAAGTATCCACTGTCGACCAGTCACACCCGCCGTGAGTCCTATGTATTAATGAGGTAGAAGGAAGACCCAACGATAGATTTTAGTTGTTAACAAGGGTCATTATAACGACCAAATAATTTTCAAAATGCTGAGGTTGTTGAAATCCATGTACCATCAAATCTGTCCTTAGCCTGTCCAATTTTAAAAATTGATAGTATTCAGAGCATGCTTTTGAGAATCGAGTAAGTTGGAAAATGTAAACACCATACGTAGGTGATAGCGGACTATTTATACATTAAGAATGACAGTTACGATGGAAAAGCTGAAGTCATCCTGTTTGTCATACAATTTAGTTGTTAGTTGGCCCTTATCGTCGAAAGTCAGCGAAACATCCAAATATTAAACAGATGTGGAAGATTCTGTGGTGGCTTTGATTTTTAGTTCAGTAGGATATATCAAGTAAACATATGAATGGATGTAACTATTTTTTTTTATTGATAAAATGTCGCCGATAAATCTAAATGTCGAGTTGAATGCCACAGAAAATGTTTTCTTCTTCTCATGTAGAAGTTTTTAAAAAAAAATAAATTCTTCTTCATAGAAATATAAAACAGGTCGGCTAATAAAGGAGCACAATTAGTTCTAATTGAATTCCAACATTTTGTTTGAAGACCTGGTCTACGAAGACTACATGTACATAAGTATTGTCAATGATCTTTTTTGACCCTGTGAATTTCTGAAAAATTAAGAATGCTAAGTTTATTTATGAGTCCATTAGATATCACTTCAATTCTCGAAAACTGCATATCTATTAAATATGACTTAATTTGGTCGCTATTTGACGCAATATGTCGTCATGAATGCGTCATCATTTCATTATCCTTAAATTTCCTTTAAAAAATGGCCAAAAGTTTAAAATGATTTTCAATACTTTATGTAGACTTTAACTTCTTATACAAAATGTAAAATTCTATAATAATTTAAAGTGACAGTACGGCGCATCTCATCAAAAAACTGACTTGATAAAATTTCCTACAAGATTTGGAATTTTTTTACTACTCATAAATATATAAACTTTCAGAAAATTACAACTTTCACAATTAAATAATTTTAATTATTTCATTAAAATTAATAGTTATTTATGGGACGTAAATATATACATCGCAACGTGTTCGGGGTTCCACATTTCATGCCATGCACGCATGCGTAGTTTTCATAAACAAAATAGCATGGTAAGAGAGGGGAAGCCCGGTAGGCCTGCTACATTGACAAAGTCGACCAAAAAGAAAAAGAAACTGAAAATAGAGCTTGAAAAAGCAACTTTCCTGACTAAAATTTAGTTTGGGGATTAATATAATCGTTGGATAAGGAAGAAACGGGAACTCGGCGACACTCACGCAGGGCTCTCGAAGGTTCTACTCGACAGGTTTGTTGATACTTGTTATCATTTCTCATTTTTCCATCGCTTTCAAAGGGAAAAAAATAGTGTAAACTCAACATAAAAATACACCTATGACTTATAAACATTGTTGCCATTTGAAGTGCTAATTTTTTTAACTCTGCAAAAAAATATTTTGTTTGACATTTGCCGCGATAACGTATGACTTGGTGGTTTTTCCTTTCTCGGACCCCAATACACAAAACGTCATCATTTGTACTTTAAACACTGTTTAATTCTTTTAAATTCGCCTGAAAGCAGACTAAAATCTTTACGATTATTATTTTAGATTATTTCATCAGAAAGTTATGATAATTTGCTTTTGACAATTGCTTTTATCTCATATTCATTATAATTGCAAACTCTACAGTGTACGCACGTGCTGTTTTAGAATTCACGTGGTACAAATAAACAGATCTAAGATTGCTCCAGTTCGTACGACCCTTGATTTTCCGGAAGATTCTAATTACGTTAATTTTGTATGAGAAGAGAATATTTTTGTTTCTCAAACTGCTTACATCAACTTTATACTTTATTTATTAATGATATATTGGGTAAATTTGAATGAAAAGGCACACGTTTTGCAGCCGTACTGTCGCTTTAACTCTTTCTTAAAATTATAAGACATGTTTTATTTTAGGATAGATGGTTGACCTCATATTTAAAAATCTTTTTCTGAGGGTACTCAAATACACCTGTTTTCTGCAACATTAAAGAACATTGGAATATAACAAATCCTGTTTTAAAACACCTGTACTTTCGAATGAAACTGTTATAAGAAATGAAAGCAATGTTTCTACATTAATGGTTGGAAGTGGACATAGGGTTTTAGTCATTTTATTCGTTTAACGACAGGGCCATTTTATACAGAAATTGAACCTAGCTCGATCTTTCTGGTTTTCTCTCAATTAGACACGTTAGATAAACTTACGTTTTTACAATTTATATAATTACTGCAGAGTCCTATGCTTTTTTATATAAAAGCACCAAAAATAGCTTTATCATTGTGTTAATTACGAGGGGTTATCAAAAACTTCGTGGAATAACGCCATTTTTTTTTATTTCCGCATTTCAACATTCAGATAGCAGTATATGTTTACATATAAACATTGCGGATTTTTATTTAACATTCACTCACTGATTCTTTCTTCTCACTCATTCCATTACAGTATCACCTACATATATAATATAAAAAAAATGTTTATTCAATATATATGCATGTATACAAATTACAATGTTTACTCCCGTTATAAGAAAAATAACAAAGTGCAATGTTTCTTTATAATTGTTATATATAGCTGATTATTTTAGCGCCATAAAATTAAACCCGCTTTAGGTACATCTATAAATTTTAACACATTTAGCCTTGATTTTTCAAGAATAAGCATTTATAGAATTTATCAATTAAGCTTAATGTAAATATCTACATTTTTGTAATGTGTTTCAGTTCTTTAAATCATAGCGATTTGTCACAGTGCTTATTCGCGTAAAATGATATTTCTGCGGAACTAACTTTACTTGTAAGTAGTTACCTTCTTGGAATATTTTCAAATAATTTTGAATAAATGTGTCATCTTTGTGTCATCTTTGTGATAAAACAAGGCATTTAAGAATTGTTGAGAATTATCAACAGAATTAGATGTCAGGTTTAAGGTCTTAAGAAGACTAGGTTGAACGTCACTAAACGTTTAAAATAGACAATTTTGACAAATCCGTTTTATTTTGAAGATTGAAGAGAAGCCATACTCGGGTTAATTTTTTAAGGAAATTTTTCCAACTTTAAATATTATTTATATAACTCACATAAAACATATTTATAGGGGAAAAACATAGTCATCATATTATTTTTTTCAGCAGTGTCACTTAAAGTTGGGGTTACATTCTGAGCCCGCTGTGGCAAAATCAGATTTAGATAGCTTAATATTCAGCTATGCATAAAGCAAACGAATGAAAACAAGGGGAGAATAAAAATGTTTTGTATCAAAAATTTGACTTGAATGAGATATGAATAAAATAAGTATTTTTTCCTTTAAAAAATTAAGAATTAAAGTAAAATACATTATATTATTGATGTAATGCATCCTCACTGTAGATTCCTGTATGTCATTTTTCCATTCATGTAAATGTTCATTTTCAATTTTTTTGGCTACATTTCTGACAGAAATCCAAATTGGGAAAATATATAACCAAACATATAAATATCTTTTTTTTCATGAAGAAAGAATATATGCGTCTTATTATACGCATTTATTTAAAAGTTATGTGTGATTTTACATTTACATGTAAATTATAGAAACTTGACCTTTTTGCACTTACACTAATTTTTGGAAAGAATGTAATTTCTAAGGATGAAAAAAAACACATCTCTTTTAAATTAAACAATTTTAAATTCATATTTCTATGTTTTTCACAAAAAATCAAGTCTTGCAAAAGACTTTAGCTTAAAAAGACAATAATGCACTTTTACACCGATCAAAACCTAATTATCAAGCAAATGTACATGAATCTCTGCAGAATTCTAAAACATTGAGTCAGTTTTTCACAAATATTTTAAAAGTAGCCTTTTCCCAATAATTTTGGGGAGAATATAACATTGAGATCTTAAAAGCAACTAGGAAGATATATCTAATTTGGGGAAAAATAAAAACTGTGCACGATAGTTGTAATTCGGGTTTGCAATATGATGTCAAACGAGTATGGCTTTACCTTAATAATACCACTTACGGTGTTTATATCTAGGACGATAGACGACAGCTGGTTTAAATAAGTTATAGTCACTTTCTATTGTACATTTTGATTCAAGAAGACAAACGCGCTTACTACATATTTCGTACTGTGTTGAATTTGTAATTTCTTTATATTTATCTGCATTTCCCAATGAAATAGAATTGCATTTAGAGGCTAGTACGATGGCAGATGACAAAAGGCGTTTCAGTTTATATCTTTCAGCAGCGATTATGTAATCTAGAACTGTCTCCTTGGTAAGTGTTCCAATAGAATTGTCAGTCGTTTCGTTGTTAACCTTTTCGCAAATAGCTAAGAGGCGTTCTTCGCATTTTTTCATCGTATCACTATCTTGAGCCTCCCAGGCAAATTCCATTAATTCTGAAATATTTTGATCTCCTGAAATAAAAGAAAAGATATCAATCAGGATGTACACCCCATCTTTTTTTTTTAATTCAGAAAGATTTTCACATTCGGTCAATCATAACATTTTAGTTAACATTTATAGTTGAATAGTTGCTACTTTACGTTCCATGAGAGAACATCGAATATCCAGAATTTTTCGGTGTGTATCAGCTGAAACCTTTGCTTCAAGGTTTGCCTTTTTCAAAGACTCATTACTGTGTTTTGAGCAAAGTTTTATAATCAGAGAAAGGGCCAAAGGCATATTGTGATTTTCGGCGTACGAAGCATATTCCAGAAGAGTTTCTATATCAATACAGATCTCTCTGTTTTCAGATGCACGTTTGCAATTTTCTAAGATAAATGATTCGCACTTATCTTTGAGGTCCATTATTTGGTATTCATCTGCCAGAGATCCTGCCACCAGTACATTTTTCTCTGTAAATTATTTAGATATTTCTTTTATTTGCAATTGGATTACTTTAATAACAAATAGTTTTTGCGTTGTTATAATAAAGTTACATAATCTGTCTCTAAAATAAAACGGTGATGAGGTAAAGGTCTGATAATGATTAATCATTTAAGGAGGTTTGATCCTGTACTTATAAGCATGCAGATTTTTGTCTAGACTTCTATGTGTAAAATGTTTCATCACATTTAAGTTCTTACAATAAATTTAGATTCTACAATAATTTTTTTTAAAATATATTTTATTCAACTAGAAACCACAATAAAGTTCCAAACAAAATGTATAAAGTGAGGGATCAAAGTTTTGTAAATTTAAGAAGAAAATTATTATTTTTTCTGTTTTAAGTTATCTTAATTTCTGTTGTGTTTGGATTCCTATTTTTCCATGCAGGCTGCACAGAGAGTTATTTTATGCGGTAAGTGAGATGTTTTTTGCTGGCACCTATTTATATATTAAATAAAATAAAGGATATATTTCATCATGAAATATGAAGATAACGAACTGTAATAGAACTCGATAGTCCACTGCAACAATACAAATTTGAAGCAGAGCAAACATATACCACTAACAATATCAGAGGTGGGATTAAGTGTCATGGAGGAATAAGCACGCCCGCTTATTATTATGCTCCTGATTTGTATCGAGGTCATTGTACTGTATCGACTTACAGTATAGAATTATGATAATGTTGACTTTAAATGAGACTTGATATCATTGTATCAGCAACTTCCTTGTCAATAGTTTGCCTCGATTTAAGAACATATGCTCTTGTGTATCGAATCAACTTGGAGAATAAAATCCATATGCAGTCGATGATAAATAAAGCAAATATATAGTGAAGGTCCTGATAAAATAGCCCCGATTTTGATTTATAATTAATATATCTTTAATTAATGAAAAAGAAAACACATCACAATATGCTCTCACTCTGACAGACTGGAATAATCCTAACCACATCACTATGCTTGGTTGTACATGTATATTGAAAGACTAAAATGTGAAAGCCAAGGTGCAAAAACATGAACATTTGAATTACTTCTTTAGGGGCATGTGGGATTTCATCATCTCACTTATGAGGAAGTCTCGGTTGTTAGTATATTACATGAATCCCGTAGAAAACTTTTTACTACATGTATGTTTCAATAATTTCGGTTATATGGAAGTAAATGTTGGTGTATTAATGATTTCTTTATAACCAGTTTTTACTGTATTTTGCGATTTATTATCTTTATTGTGCCCTTATGGTCTAGTTACTTTAATGGTATGGTTCAACAACATGATCGTAGAATTTAACAACCCAGAGTAACACTTACCAGTTATTGGAGCCACCAGTTCGGGGTTATAAAAGGTGTATAAAAAATTCACAAAATCTGTATACTTCTTTCCTGGCAGAGGTATCCTTTGTTTGTGTTTTTCGCTTAAGTCGATTTCAAACATAGCCTTAAACATGGGTGATTTGTCCATCAACACCTGTTTATTGAGGTGTAATCCATTCCTTCTACCTCAAGTATAACGTCAGTGGGAGGGAAAGGTTTTAGGGGCTTTTTAATATCGGCACTGGATGGTAATTCGCAAGCATTGTTTTCCATCCTGCTGCAGAGGAGCTTGGGTGTCTTGCATTCAGTGTCCATGCTATTTTTCGTCTTACGTGTTATAGTGTGATTAAGGCTAAAAATGCATGCAACGAACCTTGTTTAAAATTTCAATAGCAATATTTAAATGGGGCGCTACACAGGGTTCCGGTCGCAATTTCTATGCAACAAAAGTAGAAATGTTGTCTTCACGATATGGTAAATTGCAGTACATGTACTTGCAAACTGCAGACTGAGCATTCAATTCCATGATAATCTCAGCACGTCATTTAATTAAGATATGATATATTTATTTCATGTTAATATTTAAAGTACAGATATTAAAAACCCAGAGCCAACGATTGAAAAAGAGATATTTGTAGACTTAATATTTTCTCATTTTTTTAAGATACATTGCAAAAGAGATCACTGATAAGACCGTGCTTACTGAAACTCTAAAATTGAAGGAACAAATTCATCGTTTCAAATTTAGAGGAGAAAATTATCAATCTTATTTGTATTTTCATAATTAGTACATGTATTTGTAACTTCTTATTTCTATTTTGCCAAATAGATAGCACAGCTTTACCTTTAGGATACCCTTAAAATCAGATAAAAGAATATTGATTTTTGCGTTTAAACATACTGAATATGGGTCGATAATTGTTTTCATCGTGAAATAGATTTAAAAAATTGACTGTAATGGTGCAAATAAGAATTTCGAGAACAACATATATGAATGTAAACAATCATGTCAACTTCTTTATATTCTTCTGCCGCTACAGTTTGTTTATCTAGAACTATTTTTAATTATTTTTTATTGATTGTCAAACGAAAACTTTTTCAACTAAGTTATCATAAACTAAAGTGTTTAAAGGAATACATATGTCAGCCTCCGTCTCATCAATAAAGACATGACTGAAAGATGATCAGTTTAAAAGAAATACAAAAGCATAGCATATTTACGGAAGCCCATTTTGGACCTAAAAACTGTTTTGAATTCGAAATAACGAATATAATTCGTTATAAAAAAATTTGTATTCGTAATAACGAATTAAATTTGTTATAACAGATTTGTTGAATTCGTTATAACAAATTCAAAAAATTGTTATAACCGATTAAATTCTTGAAAACGAATTCTAAAATTTGTTATAACGAATTAAATTCGTTTCAACAGATTCTATAATTTTTTTATGATGAATTAAATTCGTTTTATCACATTCAACAATAGGGGTCTATAGAAAAATATATACGAATTCGATATAACGATTTACCTAATTCGTTAAAACAAATTCAATTCGTTATAACAAATTCGTTTAAACAAATTCAATTCCTTATAACAAATTAAAGAATTCATTAAAACGAGTTTAATTTGTTATAACAAACTTTTCAATAAAATATATGGAGATAACGAACAGTATTCAAGCTCAAAAGTCCATTAAACATCACAAATAGGAGCAGAGCAAACATCCAAAATCCAACATCCAAAACATCAGAGGTGGGATCAGGTGGAGTGAGCATCCCTTGCCGACCGGTCACACCCGCCGTGTGCTCCTTGACATAATCTGGAGATAACGGAAAAATCCGTCGACAATTCAATGTGTAAATAATGGCCTAACAATTAGTATGAAAAACGTCAGTCAGCATTTGATTTAATGATAAATTGTATTTGCTGACAAGGTCATTGTATCGACCATAGAACTTACGAAATGATGATTTTAAACGATACTGCCGATATTATTGTTTCATCAACTTGTTTTTCAAGAATTTACCTCGTTTTAGAAATTGTACATACGTAGAGCATGCTCTTGAATATCGAATCAACAACAAACCCCGTATACAGGTGATGAAGGTATATTGCTGCATAAGTAAGGGAAGTTGACGATTGAAAAGTTAAAGTCATCAAGTTTATCACAAAGCTTGGTTGTTAGATTACCATTAACGTCTTTTTCAACTAAAATATCCAGATATGAAACAGATGTGTCCGACTCTTTTTGTTTTCTTCTTTTCACGTATAAGACTTTGGACAAAATCTGTGTCATATGAATGCAAAAAAGGTCTGCTAATAACGGGGCGCAATTGGTACCCATGGGAATTCCAATAGATTGTTGGAAGACCTGGTCTATAAAAATCACATAGATATTGTCAATCAGAAACTCAAGCATCTTTTTAATGTCAACTTCAGAGTACTTATGTGTACAATCAGAATGTTTTTTAACAAAATAATTTTGCAAATGACCAATGACAAGGTAAGTAATTTACGAGTTCCATTTTTATTGAAAAAGCAGCTGTCAATGATATCAAAGAGCCTGGACTTTAATTTATCGTGAGGAATGGTTGTGTATATAGTTGAAAAGTCGTAAGTTTTTAAGCTGTTGATTTTGGTAAAATCTTGTGATTTCAAATTTTCCAAAAGATTCTTGGAATTTTAAAGTATCCACATCAGATTTACACTACTTCTCGAATATATTGTTGCACAGTACTACTGTTAATATCTTAGTGAGAAGTAAAGAAAGAGGCTTGGTTGAACATTTACTGGATCCCGCTATGTATCTTTGTTTGTAAGGATTTTTATGAAGTTTCGGAATCCGATATAGATATGTAATCCAAATTTATTTTGGTTGTTTGGAATATTAAAAATATTCAAAATTGACATATGATTTTGAAGAATTTCTTCCTTAGAAAGGGAATTATGAGTATATGTTGGATTACCACTTGTAGAATTAAATCCAAGTTCCTCTAAAATACATTTAATATAATGAGCCTTACAAACAAAGACAATGGTGTTATCTGCTTAATCAGCAGGGACCAGTACAGTACCAGTCAATTCGTTATATCGAATTCAGCAAATTTGTTATAACAGATTAAATTCGTTATAACGACTTCAAAGAAATTGATGCAACGAATTATAACAATTATAACGAGTTATGATTATAACAAATTCAACAATTCGTTATATCAAATTCAATCATATTTTTTATAGGTCCTAAATGGGCTTCCGTAGAAGCTCATTTAGTACTTATCAAAAATATTTTTGAATTTGAAATAAAATTATGTTATGTTGTTATAAGGGAGTAATACCCGCACACAAGCATTTGCCTGTATATGTACTCTAGCTCCCTTATACAAAGGTAGTCATAAAAGTTATTCTATAACAAGTAATAGCTTTTCAAAAAGCTTGCCTGACTAATCAGTGAATATCTATGGAACGTATAAGCAAGAGAGGTGCTAAAGATTTCCAACATCAAAGAGCGACATAGTTGAGATGCTTCAGTACATAATATGTACAAATGACTTTCTCAAATGTCATAACCAAATACTACAGAATAACGAATATCTAAGACATGCCAATATTTGGTCATTTATTAGTTAGCCCACGGGCTAACTAGTTACATTGGGTGATTGGAATTCTGGGAAAAATAGTTAGATGAGTCGTTCAAAAGAAATTCATATTACTCTCTTACCAGAGGGCGCGCTTCTCTGGTCAGTGATAGATTGATGATATGGCCTCTATTTATAGACTGGTCTGTATTCCGTCGTTCTTGACGACGAAGTAAATTGTAAACAGTTTTAACTGGGAAAGTTGTCTTGAAGTGTTTGAGACAAAAATGCTGCTCTAGGACTCAAAGTAAATGGCCTGTACACTTTATAGCTAGAGCAAAACAAGAAACTAATACCTCCCCTCCTGGACAAAACTCACGCGATGATGATCTTACCATATACATGTACATGTATTATAAATGAGTTTAAAATACATCTTTATTTATAGTTTTAAAATTGTTTATAGTTTTTCTTTTCAATTGATTTCAAACATTTTGCATTTCTTCTATAATAACGTGCTTTTTGAAATGGAAACCAGTACCATGGCCGTGGGAACCGGGGGGGGGGGGTGCGTCCCCCCCAAAATTTTGCCGATATATAGATTACTATAGTAAACATAGATACTACTGCTTGTGCTTCCCCCCTTCAATAAAAACGTTTTTTGCTTGTCAGGATCAGGAAATTTTGGTAGTGCCCGCACCCCCTTCAACTGACAACTGAAAATGTATAGCTGTGCAACCCCCCCCCCCCCACCACCACCACCACCACTGAATTTGCTTCCTACGGGCCTAAGTGCAGATCATGATGTCTTCTTCATTTTGGCGATTCTTTACTTAGAACCTAACGGGAGGGAAGCCCATTCCTCCACGGGTACTGACCTACACTCTTGTCACTGTATTAAAAGGAAACCCTTAATCATCACAAAGCATGAAATAACATGTTACTGGCTGACTTTCTAAGATTTTTTAAAAACCTAACCCTGTAACGTACATTATTTATAAATGTAATTTGAATGAAAAGGTGAAAAAACAGACTGAATCAAGAAGGGATGTCCAATTTACTAGTGGAGGGAGTTTGTTTATGAATGGACTTATCCACTTATAGGATAACCGGGAAACAAAACATAAGAATAATCAGAAAATCAACTGCTTTAGTGTTGTCTGCCCATATATAACAATGTGTTCTTTAAAAAAAATGAGATAAAATTTGCAGTTAATTAAAAAAATCCAAAGCTTAAGAATCAGCTCAAAAGAACAAACTTTATTTATTTCCATAGAAGTTGTCACACCCATTTAATAGAACAATCCAAGAAAAAGGCCTAAGATTACTTCTGACATTTGGCGCGAAATGATTGTGTCGACCCTTACGTAGAAGGCTAATGGACTGATTCAGTAGTTTAGAAACGCAGAAAAAATGTTACAGGACATGTCCGTACAAAGAATCGCAAAGAATAAACATGTCCATGCAAAAAAAAAAAAAAAAAAAAAAAAAAAAAAAAAAAAAAAAAAAAAAAAAAAAACCTGAAGGAATTAAACGCATCATTATTTTGCATTATTAATATGATTTTTTCTTCTGCAAACTGTATTTGTTTAAATGCAGGTAGCAAATTCCGATGTAAATCAGTGTGCACAAAATCTAGTTCATTAAGAATGATCGCTTAGTTTCGTACCATGGAAAATTTAATCCTTAGACTGCCTGACGCACGTGGCGTCAGGCAATTAATCTAAAATCTAAAATTTAAAAAAA